CCCCCCCCCCCCAGAGTGCATTTCGGGGGTGGACGTGGCTATTTTATACGACGACTCGCTGAGCATCCGGCCCGACGACTTCACGCTCATGAAGCAATTCATCGGGAAGCTGCTGCGCGCCCTGGCAGGGCCCCGCGTCCAGGTGGGGGCCCGGCCGTCCGTCCATCCGTCTGTCCCTGCGCGGTGTGTCTGTTCGTCCGTCCCTGCACCTGAGGGGCGGAACCCTGTGCTGTGTCCGTCCGTCCATCCCTGCTGTCCGTCCGTCCATCCGTCTGTCTGTGCCCGCGCGGCGTGTCTGTCCATCCAGCTGTCCCTGCGCAGTGTGTCTGTCCGTCCCTGCACCCAAGGGGCCTAACCCTGCGCTGTGTCCGTCCATCTGTCCGTGCCCGCACGGTGTGTCCGTCCGGCTGTCCCTGCGTGGTGTGTCCGTCCGTCCCTGCACCTGAGGGGCCGAGCCCTGTGCTGTGTCCGTCCGTCTGTGCACGTGTTGGGGGCAGGGCAGCTGGTGACAATCTGCTCTTTTAAACAATCTCCCCCCCTGACTCCTTTCATTCCCCTTCTGCCCCGGGGGCTTCGTGCCCCCTCCCCTTCCCCCCTTGCTGCCCCCTTTCCCCCCCAGATCGCCGTGGTCCAGTTCTCCTCCCACATCAACCACGTTTTCACCTTTGCCGACTACGTCACGAAGGGCCTGGAGGCCGTGGAGCAGGACCTGATGGCCTTCCCCCATCTGAAGGGGAACACTCACACCCCCTCAGCCATCCTCTTCACGGTGTGAGTACCCCACAGGGGCAGGAGGGGTGCAGCTGCCCCCCCCGGATTCCCCGCACTGACCCTGCCCGCTCTCCCCGCAGAAAACAAACCTTCGCCCCCGAGCACGGCGCCCGGTCCCACGCTAAGAAGCTGCTGATCGTCCTGACCGACGGGCAGTCCACCGACACCAGAAACTTCTTCCCCCAGGCCATCCAGGCGGCCAACAACATGGGGCTGGTCCGCTACGCCATCGGGGTACGGCGGGGGGAGCTGGCCAGGGGGCTGGAGCATCCCTGCCGTGCTCTGGGCTCTGAAAAACTCTCCAGGTTCCTCCAGCGTTCTAGGTTCTGGAGGCTCCTTGAAGGTTTGGGGTTCCCAGCAGTTCTGGGGAGACCTTAAAGGTTTTGGGTTTTAAGCTGTTCTGGAGGGTCCTTAATGGATTGGGGAACCGAGAGGTTCTTTAAAGGTTCTAGTGTCGGAGAGGTTCTGGAAGGATTTTAGGAGGTTCTGGGAGGTTCTGATTGGTTCCTGAGAGGTTCTGGAGGTTCCGTGAGGTTTTGGGAGGTTCCTGAGAGGTTTCGGAGGTTAATGGGAGGTTCTAGAGGTTCGATGAGGGTCTCATTGGTTCCTGAGAGGTTCTGGAGGATGCTAACGAGTTTTGGGAATTCACTGAAGGTTCTGGGTCCTCAGACGTTCTGGAGGGCACTTAATGTTTCTGTTGTCTGTGGGTATTTTGAAAGTTCTGGGCTTCCCAAAGGTTCTGGAGGCTCTTTGAAGGTTTTGGTTTCCAGGAGGATCTGGAATATGCTAAGTGTCGCTGCAGGTTCCCTAAAGGTTCTGGAGGATGCTGGGGAGGTTCTGGGTGTGGGTGATGGATCTGTGGGGTTCTGTGGGTCCTAGGAGGTTCCAGTTGGTTCTGGAATATGGTGGGGGGCTCTGGAGAACGCTAGGGGGTGTCTGCATGTGTGTGAGGGGTCCCCAGGGGGGGTTCTAGTTGGTTCTAGAGCATGGTGGGGGGGGCCCTGGAGGACCATGGGGGGTTCCGTGTTAGTGTGAAGGGCCTGTGGGTTTCTGGGGGGTCTGGAGCCCATTCCTGGAGGTCTCTCTCCCCCGTCCCCCGGTTCCAGGTGGGCAAGGCGTTCTCCACGTCCGAGGCGCGCCAGGAGCTGCTCACCATCGCCTCGCGGGCTGAGAACGTCTTCCAGGTTGGGAGCTTCTCCGCCCTCAGCACCATCCAGGAGCAGCTTCGCGAGAAGATCTTCGCTATTGAAGGTGCGGGGCCCACGGATCCTCCTCCAGCCCGGATGCCTTGGTCCGACTCCCCATCCCGGTGTCTGGGAGTGCTGGGGTGGGGAGCGCCCCTACCTGGGCGCCTGGGTCCCATTCCCCATCCCGGTGTCTGGGAGTGCTGGGGTGGGGAGCGCCCCTACCCGGGCGCCTGGGTCCCATTCCCCATCCCAGTGTCTGGGAGTGCTGGGGTGGGGAGCGCCCCTACCCGGATGCCTGGGCAGGGCCGCCCGGGGGGGGGCAAATGGGGCAATTTCCTCCAGGCCCCGGGCCCCGCAGGGGCCCTGGCCCTGCCTCTGCCTTCGCCCATCCCCTGGTGCCTCAGCAGGGCAGAGGCGTGGCTCTGGGCGGGGCCTGAGCTCCTCCCACTGAGTCAGAGCCGCGTGGTAAGGGGGCGGGGCTGCGAGATCCGGTCCCGCCGGAACCACGCCGCTGCAGCGCTGTCCAGGGGCCAGGGCAGCTCCTGGACGCGGCGCGCTGAGGCTCCAAGAGAGGGGAGAGGCGGCGGTAACCCAGGAGCGGCCCTGGACAGCGCTGCTGGGGGGTGTGTGTGTGCGGTGGTCAGGGCACGGGGGGCTGGATCGAGGGCACTCCGGGGGTCTGTCAGGACTCGGCGGAGGGATGGATAGGGGTTAGGGCAGTCAGGGGACGGGGGGGTTGGTGGGGACCGGGGTGGTGGTTGGGGGGTGGTGGTGAGGGGACAAGGAGCAGGATGGGTCGGGGATTCTGAGGGGGGCAGGAAGTGGGTGGGGATCAGATAGGGGGCAGGGCCAGGCTGTTTGGGGAGGCCAGGGCCGGCTCCAGGCACCAGCCGAGCAAGCCCGTACTTGGGGCGGCAGATTCGAAGGGGCGGCATTCCGCCCAATCCTTTTTTTTTTTCCTTCGCCGCTGCGGCCGCCCCACAGGTTTTTTTCTTTACTCTTTTTGGTTTGCTGATCCGGCCACCCTGTAGGGGGCAGCGGTGTGGAGGAGGGGAGCGCCTTGCTGGGAGCGGGCTGCGTACTCCATCTGCCCCAGCCGGTGCCAGGTCTGCAGCAAGCCTGGCAGGGCAGCCCGCATCCTTCCCTGACCGCTGACTAGAGCGGCACAGAGCCCTCCCGGCAGGCGGCGTGGCGGGAGGGGCCGCGTGGAGAGCGCCCGGCTGAAGGAAGCCCTGGCCACCCCCCTTCTCTCTCCCCCCCCCCCCCCCCCCCCCCCCCCCCCCCCCGCTGCCCGGGGCACACCCGCGCTCCGGCCGCCCTGCACGGTTTTTGGTTTTTTTCGCTTGGGGCAGCAAAAAAGCCAGAGATGGCCCTTGGGGAGGCACAGCCTTCCCTACCCTAAAGCTCATTCAGCGGCTTGAGGCTTGCAGAAGAGCCAAGCTGTTACCTTTCCCCTTAGGGCTACCATCCCTTTCACTTCTCAAATGCCAAATTACAGTCTACATTTCATTTCAGTGCCATAGGGAGATTCATGTCAGGGGAGGGGAGCTTCATTTCAAATTAGCCACTTTAGATTAACAGGGATAGAGCCAAGAGAGCCATGGGGGAGGGATCACATGAGAAGAGCAATATCCTACACCATCTACCTCCTTCCCAACCCTACCAAGGGAGACCCCCCCTCTGCATTCCCCGAGGCTCCAGAGGGGTTAATTCAGTGGGTCTCAAACTTTTGTACTGGTGACCCCTTTCAGACAGCAAACCTCTGAGTGCGACGACCCCCCCCTTATAAATTAAAACCACTTTTTTATATATTTAACACTATTATAAATGCTGGAGGCAAAGCAGGGTTTGAGATGGAGGCTGACAGCTCGCGACCCCCAGTAATAACCTCGTGACCCCCTGAGGGGTCCCGACCCCCAGTTTGAGACCCCCTGGGTTAATTTAATTTTAGCACCCTGTGTCCATTCACAGACATGTGCTATTTTGAGCATTTCAGTTTTCACTACATAGGCTCATCCCAGATTCTGGAACAAGCTCAAATGCTCAGTTCGCGGAGTATGTACATAGTCTATACTAAAGACAAACCCACAGTAACCGTCTCCAGTTTGTGAGGGACCCCATGGAACCAGCCTCTAGGAAACAGATACATTCATGGAGGTTAAGTCCATTAATGGCTATTAGCCAGGATGGGTAAGGAATGGTGTCCCTAGTCTCTGTTTGTCAGAGGGTGGAGATGGATGGCAGGAGAGAGATCACTTGTTCATTACCTGTTAGGTCCACTCCCTCTGGGGCACCTGGCATTGGCCACTGTCGGCAGACAGGATACTGGGCTGGATGGACCTTTGGTCTGACCCGGTACGGCCGTTCTTATGTTCTAACCTAAATGAACCCAACGTTATGGAGACAGATATGAGTCAAGGAAGCCAGCAAAGTATCAGAAACCTGGAAAAATCTCTGACTGGATGGGCTCAGGCGTTTGGTCACAAGCTGAGGTGGTTCAAAAGTTTTGGATTTTTTTTAAGATGGATTTTTTTATTGTTTCTTTAAACAATCAAACACAGCAAGCAGCAAATATTTGGCCACACACTCCTGAAACCCCAAACCATGTTCAGGTTTTGACAGACTAATTTCAGCTTTTCAATTAAAAAAACCACAACACATTTTGAAGGAAAGCAGACATTGTCCGTGATTTTTTTCTGCTTTTAAAAAACCCCTAGTTTTCGATCCAAAAAAAGTTTTGATGGAAAGTATTTGTCCAACCCTTTTAATGAGCTTTAGAGCCTTTTAGCACTAGCTGATGCTGAGAACCAGGGATACCTGGTAAAGGTGACTTGAAAAGAAGTTTTCTCAAAACTGGGTTTGTGCCAAGATGCGGAAGGTTTTTAAATGTTTATTTTTCCCAGGGC